AAAGGATCTAATAAAAGGTATCAACACATGTCGTAAATGTAGAAAGAATCTGTCCTTGCTAATGCTTGGGGAAATAGGAAAGCGACCTTCTAATATGAAGATGACAACCATTTTCCAATACCTGACGTTTCTCTTAATAATAAAAAATTGTAACCAGCATGACATTTTTTTCAGCAGGCCAATGTATATTTGCAATATCAATCTGCTATCTAGCTCTGAAACATAGATATAGATTGGGGGAGGGAGGCAAGCATATTTTTTAAAAAATGAGAATCCCGGCTTCTGTTGGAAACCTATTAATCTCATGTATTTTTGAAAGGCTGTCCACAGGCCAAATGGAATGTCCAGAACCGAGAAAGGTAATGGGAGTCTGACACGGCATATTCCACCGGTCATTTATAATAGCTATTAACTATGATTATTCAGGGCGCCATGTCTAACAAAATGGTGACTGTTTTAGGCTCATCCTTGTAGCCACATAAAGCATGCCCTTCCAGAGCCCATTGCTTAACATCACTTCCCATAACTGGGAAGCCGACCCCCCCCCCCAACACACACACACACATCTTGAGATGTTTTGGCTCAACCACACCAGTGCCATTACAACCAAAACTTTGCGGGACATGAAAAATTATCTTGAAAACACATCATTCTTCATCATGAATCTAGAGATGAGTTCTGTAGACCAGGCTCCCTTGGATTGCCCCTCCTCTCCTCTCACTTTGCTGTCCTCGATCACATCTCCAAATAGGTCAGTGTCACCAGGGGTTGTGAGTGCAGTGAAGACCCCAAAGGCCAGTCTGAGGGGCAGGTGGGGCAGCTCACAACAGCCCATTGTGTGGAATTACAGGGGAAAGCCTCTGGAATGCAGTCCCGAAATGAAGTGACCTTCCAGGGGTAAAAAGAAGATGTTAGGAATGAACATTGCTCAGTTGATGCCTTCCAGTATGGTGGTGCATTATTAAAACAATGGTCTGGAAGTCAGGGATTTGAGGTCACTATCACGTATGATCTTTCTAAGCCCCCATCCACTGTAAAATGAGAGGCTCAGAAAGACCACCGCTAGAACCTCTCCAGTCTAGAATGGCCCCTCGGTGACTCCAGAGATGTGGACCTGTTCATGCAGTGGCCACTTCCCACATCCCCTCAAGGGGTGGGGCATCTCCCCTTCCCAGAGTTCCCAGTGCTGGTCTAGCTGAACTCCATTTGTTTGCTGCTATAATCTCCCTGCACTTGTTTCTTTATCTGTAAAATATTTCCTGAACGCTTCTCCAAGCCTTCATTGGGCAACAAATAACAAGTGAGAAAGTGGTTTGGGAGGAAAGGAGATTATCATAACCGAGATAGTAAGTAAAAATGGCATTGTCCTTTAGGCCATTTTAATCATTTAGTCTGTGGCCTTTGCAGACCATAACTTGAGAATGTTGCCTATTTGCTGTCAAGCAAGGTTTCTGTGCAGTGGTCATCTCCCCGGGGCACAGGGTGGAGGTGAGCGTGTGGGCGAGGAGGTCATTTGAGGTGCCCTTCATGAGCATAATGACCTGGCAAGCGGTACTCTCCAGACACCAAAGAGTCCGTGCCCTCAGGGTGGGTGTGGGTGGATATACTTCAGCCACTAGTTTGCCTCCTTACACATGGTTTTGTTTCTTTCCCAAACGATTGGTCCGTAATCATTTATTCTGTTTAGTGACATCTAGAAAAGCGATTACCTACTACTTCTCTCTAGAGGAGAAGGCGAGGCCGTCATAAGAAAAGATTGCTGTCCTTTATACTGCAGAGTTTGTGTAAAAGGAGATAACTCTATTTACTTTTTTTCATGTGCTTTTGTTTGAAAAGCCTTGAGTACTTTAACAAATTAATCATTTTGTTTCGGTAGCCTTGTGCCACTGAAAACTGTCCAATGTTCTCAACCTCCCTTCCTCAGAAACTTCTAAAAGGCCACCGACAAGTATCTTAGAGCCTCTGATTTCTCTCACTGTCCTACCAAGGATCCTTCTCACAGCACACTGGCACCAGCTGACTCAACTCCAGCTCAAATGTTCCTGGTTAGAGAGGACTCAGTACCTCACAACATAGCCCAGTGTATTTCTGCACATCTCTCGGGCAAGCAAGCGCTTCAGCCCCCCCCCCCCCCCCCCCCCCCCCCCCCCCCCCCCCCCCAGCATGCACTTGTCTGCCTTCACTTTGGTCTCTATCCTCTGATTTCACATTTAAAAAACCGTTGGCGTGAGCACACAGCAGCAATGCCCTCAAAGTCAACAGGAATGGCCTCCCCTTTCTTTCTGCCCACGATGCTTTCCCCGATGGCTTTCCGACATACCGTATCCCCAGAACTAAAATTTTGGAAGATGTTGAAGGCTCAGAGGAGGAATCTCCTGTCGCCTTTGGAAAGTCTCAGAGCTAGTTAATAAGAACTAATGATGCATGGAAACCTGGCTGGAGAGATTGTTATTGCCTCTCAGGCAAGACTATGCTCAAGGCCCAGAGTCTTGAGCATTTTTGTCCATAGCTATGACCTGATATTTGTAAAAACTGCTTTGATTATTTACTAGGTCTTTAAATTAAAAAAAAAAAAAAAAAAAAACCTGCCAAAGAAATATAGCTGAAATAGCATGGAAGGAACCAGAATAAAAATGGATCCATTCCAGTCGGGTAATGCTGAGGAGCCTGATTGCAAAGAGAACGTGCATATTTCCCAAGAGGCTCCAATCTGTGATACCCCGTCATCTGTGAGAGGGGACAGGGTCTTGGTGAAGACGTGTTTACCAGGTACGGGAAATGACTTGCTATCCAGAAGCCACTTTAATTTGACAAACTGTGCAAAAGCAAAGTAGGAGGCAGAATGGAGAGGAGACTCGGACCCATAAAAACGCGTGCAACTTTCTGAAATGGTGCAGCGGTATTCCCTAACGGCAAAGAGGTCACTCTGCTTTTTTACAAAATCTCAGAAACATGGAGAATGTGAACACTCCTTGTAATGGAATATTATTGTTGTTAGAACCATATACATACTCAACTTCCCCTGGTACTGAGAAAAGGAAATTAAAACCAAGAATCATAAGACAGACAGTGCCATTCTTAGATTATGGCTTGGTTATATCATAAATGTCATATATCATATTACATATTATGTCCCATTGCACAGATACCAATGGTATTTTGCAAAACAATCTGCAACTGCCCCCAAAGTATGGAAACCACTTTACTTTTCTTTCTTCTGAGACTTCATGATTTTGACCTCTTTCTGACAGCTTGAGGGCACTGTCCCCACCTGCCACCTCTGTCCCCGTGACTCTCAATCACAAACCCCCACCTGTTGTTTCCACATTGAAGTTTAAGAAATCTTAGGGGTTCCCTCAACTATTGTAATACTTTTTTCTAATATACACTTTTATGTAAAGACCTATTCTAAAGACCTATGAGAGTACCAATTATTTGTATATTTTCCTGTCAAGTTTTAAGGAATTATAAACCCTTATAAATGAATTACTGAAGACAGCCAATGAATTACTCTTAGCGGTCTAATCTTAATTCTGAATTTCACATGCATCCCATTTTACCCCCACTGAGGCACCGTTGATCAAAGACTAAAGTTCCATTTTGATCAAAGTAATACAAAATGATGAATAAAATTTCACTACCAAACAAACATTGGCCAGGCACACGCAATTCAATGCTGATGTCAGACTGATTCACAAACTCCCTTGTGATTTTAGAAGTTCTTCTGGAAAAACATTTTCAGATTAAGCACAGCATAGTTTTGAAGAGTGCGGGATTTGGAACCCTACAAAACGTGGGTTTGAATTCTGGATTTTTAAATTTACTTCCATGACTAATTATCATTTGTATGCAAACCATGACTGGTGGGTACCTTTGAGGTGTGTGCTGAGAATTACATGGAGAAAAAAGCATGTAACATGCTTAGAACAGAGTATATCAACCAAAGTTGATAAATACGAGGTGCGGCTCTTGCTACTGTTGTCAAATGTTTATGACCTCTTATCTCCTAGTGTACGTTTAACTGTAAACCATCAGATTTCTAGGGAAGGCGTAGTTGACAAAATCTTACCCGACTATCGTTAACCCTAGCGACAGACAGACAGCAGCCACCCGTGCTGGTGATCTGGGAAACACCTGCATCACAATAATCTCTACTGTCGATGGGTACTTCCGTCATTGTTTTCTTGGGATTGAGGTGCGCCTTGTTTCCTTAGGCAAGAAGGGGCATTTTTTCAATATTTATTTTCCTAAGTAGCTGTCAAAAACAAAGAGGTAAATGAAGTATTAATCATCTCACATCTTAGGAAATTAACTGAACACTTAACATACATTCTTATGGATCTCACAGCATCTCAAAGGCCCAGGTTGTGGTTCCGATGCGTTGCAACACCAACGCACATTAGGGCTGACCTAGCTCGGGTGTTTCCGGGCTTCGGGACGATGAGGTTTTTAATGCACTTGATGTGAGTCATCAATGTAAATGCCCACGGCTCCTTGCTTTGTGCGTCTGGAGTGGAAACTCTCGCTGGTGGCCTTGGTTGCAGGGGACACAGCGCCACCTAGTGCCCATTGGAAGCATAGCTGGAGGAACTCCATGCTCAGAACAGACTCCCTTCCAACGCGGGTCTGTAACAGTTTTTTTGGTTTTTGTTTTTTGTGTTTTTTGTTTTTTTATTTCCTCCTGTATCCCTGGACTTTGGAACTTTGGGTTCCGATGAACTCCCACTATTTTTCAAATGAGCTTCGTCAAACCAAGCACCACATCACCTTTTGCGTTCTCTGAAAGGCTCCATCCAACCATCTTTGGCTCTGTTGCAGACTTCTGTGGCTATATTGCTATCACTTGCAGCTGGCATTGTGTAACAAAGAACATTCTGGAAACGAGAGTTTCCTTCTGATCCACTTGGCACCACGGCATGCTCCTCACAGTACGGCATGTCCTGTACGAGACACAGAACTCATGTCATCCCTCCCGATTTTTGATTCTTCTCTTTTTTCAGATTGTCTACAAAGCCTGGCTGTGTTCCCAGTACTTTGAAGTCGCACAGTTTAACTGCAGAAAGACAATTCCTTGCAAGCAATACTGTTTGGAGGTTCAGACGAGGTGTCCGTTCATATTGCCCGACAACGATGAAGTCATTTACGGGGGACTCTCCAGTTTCATCTGTACAGGTACAGTGCAGGGCGGGGGGCTCGTCACTCGGCCACTCCTGGTCTCTGCTCTCCTAGGTGATGTTTACTCGCTTTGTCTTTGCCTTCTACTGATGTCACCTTGAAGATATGCCTGGTAGTTTCCTGCGCTTTCCTTCATCGAAGCCCCGAACAAACTTGGTTTGGAAAGATCACATTATCAATAGGGAACCTGTGACCCATGGTCATGTACTTTGCAGAAGGATACTCCTGAGGGGAACGTGTTAGCAATCATGAGATAGGCTTCAACTTGACTTAGAGTAGTTGAAGCTGGATTCTGCCTGACGCTTTGCATTACCTAAGAACAGATGATATGTCAAGGCCAGGAAAGTTATGCTGCTTCTTCAGATGGGTAATGTGCTCATGTCTCCACGTTTGTTTTCTGAGTTTTATGTTACTTTATCTTAAATAAGTGTCAACAGCATAAAGAACTGTCTACCTAAGTTATTCGTGTGTGTGTGTGTGTGTGTGTGTGTGTATGTGTTCGAGACGCACAATAGAGGCTAGATATAATTTTATCTTATCTTCCCCATTAACAGTGTTTACCTCTTTGAGCACATCACTGACTGGGCCAAACAACAATATCAGCATTCAACTTTTGGGTATTTATAAGCATTACATAAATTAGACACAGTAAGATGTAAAGGATAAGAGTAAATTGTCTTTTGGTTTTTTTCTTTAAATAAATGGCGAGTAGGCCCACAAGTTAGGACAAGACAGCCATGGTGATGTGATAGAGTTACCTTGGCACAAAAAGTGCTACGTGCATCCTTGTCACTAGAGGTCTTCAGTTGAGGCAGGGTTAGTTTTCAAGTTTTTAAGAGAAAACTCTATCAGACATATCTGAAAATGTGAAAAGCTCCTTCCTTCTTCTATTAGACCTTATGAACCCTTCTCCAAGAGTGACCCCTTGAGATGCTTGGCATGAGAGTTTATCAAATTATTTCCAGACCGCATATCCATATTCCTATCCACTGGCCATCCTGTTCTAAGTCAAAGTGAGGAGTGATCAGGAGAGACACTCAACCAAATTTCTCCCCTAAGAATCTGCCTGAAGAACTGGATGAATATTTCCTGTGCTGTCCGGTCTTGTGGGAAGAACCTCTAAGTGACGGTTATGAGATATAGCCTTTTGTCCTATTTCTATGCATTCTCTCTGGGCCATTGCGTGGCTCCCAAGCGTGTTTGCTATGAGGGTTATGGATAAGAGAGAAGCACAAGATACATCTTCAATAGCCAATAGCCACTGTACTCAAGAAAATGATTTGTAGAATGTAAATGAGGATTTCCAAATCATTTTTGTTATTCACTGATTGAATGTTGAGACCATTTTCCCAGCTCTTCTCTGATGGGAAGACAGAGCAAGAGTGAGAGAGAGTGAGAGAGAGAGGAATAGAGACAGAAAATGAAAGGGGAGGAAGATGGGGGATGGAGAGAAGGAAGGAGGGAAGGGAAGGGAAGGGAAGGGAAGGGAAGAAAGGAAGGGAGAAAGAAAGAAAGAAAGAATTAAATTAGTATCATCTCTCTTTAATTGAGCCCAAATTCACCAGACACAGGCTATTAATTTACTTGACACTCACATAAAACTTTCCATAAATGGTCATCGAGATACAATTTTCAGCTCTTAACTCTGTAGTCAGTCAGGATGCAACACTATGACAGTGTCATTGACCATATTCCTATGCTGTGCCTTTTATTTCTGTGACTTATTCATTCCATAACTGGAAGTCTGCACCTCCCACTCTCCTTCCCCCATTTTGTCCACGCCCCCCTCCCCAACACACACCCCTGCCATCTGGCAACCATCAGTTTATTCTTTGTATTTAAAAGTCTGTTTCTGCTTTCGTTTGTTTGGTTGGTTGGTTGGTTGTTTGGTTGGTTGGTTGGTTGGTTGGGTTTTGGATTCCACATCTAAGTGAAACCATGTGGTGTTTGTCTTCTACCTTATATTCTTAATTGCCTTTGAGTTTTGTAAATTCAGCTTTTTTATAGTCATAGCCATATCACCACAGGAAAGAGATAGGAAAAGGGAGACGTGTCACGGGGTCTAAGCAGATGCCATGGACCCTAGATTTCTGGGAGAATGCCATCCCTGAATACCCAGAACCTAACTCTTCATTCACCACTCAGTTGGGTTTTTTTTGTTCCTTTCATTATTCACCTTCTCAAAAATGTGCAGAATAAATTCTGAAGGCATTTGACCGTGAAGTTCTACAAAATGTTTTGACAAAACAGATGCTAAGCCTCAGATTGAGCTCCTTTTCTAAGATGTGACCCAGGCCTTCTTGAAGAATTCTTCTCTCTCTTGGAAACTCACAGTAAGCATACCCCCTCAGATGTCCGTTGAATTTGCTGCTGGACCTGAACAAGAGAGATGTTTCCAAACATGACCCTCAAAATAACACCTTTCTGGGAAGAAGTTAACTCAGAGAACAGTTCCCAGGGGCCACCGGTCAAATCTAAGGAGCTAAGTGGCTTGACACACTTCGAGAGAAACTAGTAAGATCTTTATATGTATAGCATTTATTTGCAAACATTGTCCTACAATTTTTGGTGGCTAATCTCTTGCAGATGGACATGAAGTTCCAAATAATAGATGGAATGAATGAGAGTCATCTCAAGTGCCTTTATGCATTTTGAATGAAGTGTCTTCTGTACTCAGGCAGAATTAGACTATATAGTAGAGACTATGGTAGAGAAATAAGAATATTTTTTCTTTAAAAAAATTTTTTTAATGTTTTATTTATTTCTGAGAAAGAGAGAGACAGCATGAGCAGGGGAGAGTCAGAGAGAGAGGGAGACACAGAATCTGGAACAGGTTCTAGGCTCTGAGCTAGCTGTCAGCACAGAGCCCGACGCGGGGCACGAACCCACAAAGTGTGAGATCATGACCTGAGCTTAAGTCGGACGCTTAACCAGCTGAGCCACCAGGCGCCCCAAGAATATTTTTTTTCTTGTTTCCCAGTTGGCTGCCGATAACCTAAGGCCAAGTGGAACAGTAAGCTCACAGCAACTTTACATGCTCACAAGTAGCGATAGACTTTCTGAGCCCCTCCCTTACTGAAATAGGTAGAATGACAATCACTGAACACCGTTCTATTAGAAGGAATCTTAATCTTGCCTTCGGTCATTCCTCATTGTTGTTTTAATTTAATGGTTTTGTTCTGTCCTTTAGAGTGAAAAATATAATCATTTCTCATCAACAGTTGAATGAGTAGATGGAGTTTCCTTCAAATTCAACATATTTAATTACAGAGGTTCCCTTTCTATTGGAAATACATCCAATTCACCAATTCCAGAAGAATAGAGATCCCCTCTAGAATCACCCTCAAAACAAGTGGCCCAGGAAGCGCGTCCCTCTGCACGGCTTGCTGCCAGATGCTGTCTGAGTGAAGATCAATTTTGTTCAAGGTTCTTCTCCATGGTAACAAAGCAGGGATGTTGTGATGGCTTTTCCGGAGAGTCCTCTGCACCCAGCTGTTTAGGGATGTGGGATTATAGGACACCCGGTCCTTCCCCTCCTGTGTGCTGTTATTACCCATCTACTGACACTCAGCATTCTGTTATCTGCCCAAAAAGGACATCTCAGCCCCTCGGTTCAGTTTTGGCAACAGTTTTGGTAGCAGGTATTAGGTTCGGTGTTTAGCGCATCGTGGTTTATGTGGTTTACGTGACTTACCCATCTCCTGCGCTCGAATGTATTCAATGTTTAGGGCTCGATCACCTGCTTCTTCATGTGTCTGTGATCCTTAGCAAGCCCATCACTTAGGAAAGAAAGCGGAGTATCCGATAATGCTTGTCTACTGCTTTGCACTGTCTTTGCCTGAGGATTCTACAGAAGGTCATGACCAAATGTTCTAACCACAAAAGTAGATGACAAGAACAGTCCCTCCTCCTATGTTTAATTCTGATTCTGTTTTAGGAAATAAAGGCAAGACACTTTGCCTGAGATGGCTCTTGGCTTTTTTTTTTTTTTTTTTCTGTTAAAGAATAAAACTGACACATTACTGAAGGGGGATTTGAAAAATTAATTAGGGAGAAATCCCGAGGTGCTGCCAGGGTGAAATCTGTCTTTTACTGTGAGGCATTGTTGAGCTAAAACTTCTCAAGGTGGGCCCCGCTCCCAAGCTCAGCACACGTAAGGCACTGCTATTTTAGAAACCCGGCTTCTTCATCTTCCAAGTGCAAGGGTGGAGATGCTCGTAGATTCTGTATGTCAACCCATCACTGCGGTAATTATGTGGGTTTCCCCTCTGCATCCTCCCTCGCCTTATTCTAGAATCCCCGAGAGAAATCCTTGATTGCTTACCTGTAAGAGTGAGCCAACATTAGGAAAACAGAAGTAGCGGAGGATCAGAGGCTGTGGGTGCTATGGTAACAAACATGAGAATTACCACTTGATTGACAGATAAAATAGAGTCGACAAGCTTTGCTGCTGTATTTTTCATAAACTGTTGAAAGCAAAAAAAAAAGTAAAGTTGGTCTGCTGGGGGTTACTGACAATGGAGATAAAACATATTTTTAGAAATCTGTGTAAATTCTGCATTTCATTCTTTTGGCTGTGACAAGAATCAGGTTATGTTTCCGTCTCTGGAGGGAACGCGGTGGGCTGTTGGTGCTGGGTGACAGGGATGATTAGAAGTGATGTGGGACGGGCTCCCCCTGGTGGCGCGGATGCGCTACTGCAGAAGGAGGTGGCGACGGGGCGGGGGGCAGAAGGGGAGGAAATACTTTGATATGCATATCGTTCAAATTAGAGAGGAATTCTTTTTCATGTCGCCTGTCTTATAACCCACATGAGAACATTCATAACTGGGAAAGATGATTTCCAAACCCCAGTCCTGACATGACTAAGGGCTGTTACAGTTTTTTTTTCCCCAACAACTTACAAGATCTCCTAATTAAAGGAGCATTTTAGTAGAAAAACCTGCTACCCATAGGTTTTCATTTGCACACCTCTGCTATTATAAATTTCTGTATTT